ATAAAAACAATGTAACAGTGATCATAGGTTCTGTGATTCAAATGTAACAATAAACGATCTACATTACATATACGACCAAACTTTGCAGCCATAGCTGGCAGCATGAGTCACTCGATAACAGCAGGAGCATCAAACATTTCCAATGCACCTTTAAAGATCAGCACACTATAATCAAAACACAAGATCATACTTTGCAGCGGCCATCCGGAGTGATACATTTGATTTCAGGCCACTGAATAGCAGTGGCAGCTAGGGGTGTACAACTCCTCGAGAGCAGTTTTGAGTGAAGATCTTACAGGTAGTGATCCAAGTTGCAGTTTTTTGGCAATAACTTTCCAGACCCTGGGGCATGTTCTCACAATACAGGATATGTTATTGTCAATTCACTTGTTTTTATCCACACCCTTTTAAACATTCTCTGGACCATTTGTTTAGAAATATACGATCTTTTCTTTTCAGGTTTTCCAGCACCAACAGCAAGAATAAAGTACAGCACAGACAGAAGTAACACGTGGAGATCACATATATGCCTCAACAGGTTCGAAAGCTTCTTAGATGTAAGCAAATAAAAATACCCGCGACACGGAGTTTCTTGACGGTTTTATAAATCCTGTCAGAAGTGCCCAGATGTTATCAGCGATTCCATTTTGTGCATCTTTTGAAGCCACACATTCAACTATGGACAACCACGACCCTTCCATTCTCTGAATTAGGAGTGACCGTGATGTAACGAATCTAATATCACAATCAGCAATCGGTATCACAAACGGAAGGCCTAGAAGACAAACATCTAAGGTAAGAATAGCCGATCCAGAACACACGTGGTCAGGGAACTGACCAGCGACCTCAGATATCTATGCTGATGAATGCCTGCGGTATGTTTGCTGAACCACGTGGGATGAGCATCTGGGAAAACCCGAGTCCAAAGCAATACGTTCAAATACAGTACAGTATTTTAATTTTTAAAGCGTCATCGAAGCCAGTGGAACCAGTCTCGTGGCATAAAAACAGCTGCTGGTGAGACGCCAACAATGTTGCTGTTGTTGTTGCTGTTGTTGTTGCTGTTGTGGATACCCCCCCCCCCCCCATGTGTGATGTGTTTCCCATGAAGACCAAGGAGTAGGGAGTATTAGTATGATCTCCGTGAGAACCTATCATTGCCCGCCAGTTTGATGAACATCCCCAAGAATATTTTGGAAATGGTAGTGATGAGAATGAGGACTGTATCACACTCGTGTTTAAATACATATATTTTTTATGAGTATGGAATGAATTTCATATCAGTTGTAATCCAGGTCCACCTTGAAAAAGAGGCAATATGTCACGTTTTGATTTAATACCATAGTTACATTTAGGATACAGACAAAACCTTGAAAATATTATTTTAAAGATGTAATCCTGGTCCAATCGATATCTGATTGAATTTCCGGGATCTTCTTTAAGTGCCGTATAACGTAGTTAGAACAGCAGTTAATGAGCGTTCCGACGCATCAGAGGATAAACACTCAATAACAAGCAACACACACGGTACTTTGCAAGCCTACTGGCTATCAACAAAGATTCGTTCATGAAGCCATCCATATCTACAGACACAGACACAATTTCAACAAAGAGGATGGTCTCAACTCAGCAAAGATGTCATCAACAACTTTGGGTCATGACTTGGCTTGTGTTTTCTTGTCAATCAACCTCCACCGTCAGCAGTGTGGGGGTGTGGAGCGGGGTGCAGTGATTGCCTGGCGGCCCTTTGATTGGTGTAGACCCACTGCCGGTGTTGTCTCCTGCATTGGCATTGCTGCCCCGCCCTGGTGCTGCTGCTGCTGGTGCTGCTGAGACACTTTTATAAGCAGTTTGCCTTTAGAGGCTAACCCCCCTTTTCCTGACGACGACCGCTTGTGTTGTGATCGAAACGCTGTGGCTTTTTGTTTGTTTGTTTTATTTTTTTATTTTTCAGGCTACAGTCTACATTATAGACTGCCAGTACACTCGCCGAGGTTAACCATTGCTACAGTCTACATTATAGACTGCCAGTACACTCGCCGAGGTTAATAACCATTGCTACAGTCTACATTATAGACTGCCAGTACACTCACCCAGCTTAGTAACCAGGCTACAGTCTACATTGTAGACTGCCAGTACACTCACCCAGCTTAAGAACCAGGCTACAGTCTACATTATAGATTGCCAGTACACTCACCCAGCTTAATAAGTAGGCTACAGTCTACATTTCAGACTGTCAGTACACTCACCCAGCTTAATAATCATTACTACAGTCTACATTATAGACTGCCAGTACACTCGCCCAGCTTAATAACCATTGCTACAGTCTACATTATAGACTGCCAGTACACTCACCCAGCTTAATAACCAGTCTACAGTCTACATTATAGACTGCCAGTACACTCACCCAGCTTAATAACCAGGCTACAGTCTACATTATAGACTGCCAGTACACTCACCCAGCCTAATAACCAGGCTACAGTCTACATTATAGTCTGCCAGTACACTCACCCAGTCTAATAACCAGGCTACAGTCTACATTATAGACCGCCAGTACACTCACCCAGCTTAATAACCAGGCTACAGTCTACATTTCAGACTGTCAGTACACTCACCCAGCTTAATAATCATTACTACAGTCTACATTATAGACTGCCAGTACACTCGCCCAGCTTAATAACCATTGCTACAGTCTACATTATAGACTGCCAGTACACTCACCCAGCTTAATAACCAGTCTACAGTCTACATTATAGACTGCCAGTACACTCACCCAGCTTAATAACCAGGCTACAGTCTACATTATAGACTGCCAGTACACTCACCCAGCCTAATAACCAGGCTACAGTCTACATTATAGACTGCCAGTACACTCACCCAGTCTAATAACCAGGCTACAGTCTACATTATAGACCGCCAGTACACTCACTCCGATTAAGAACCAGGAGACAGTCTACATTATAGATTGCCAGTACGCTCACCCAGCTTAATAACCAGGCTACAGTCTACATTATAGACTGCCAGTACACTCATTCAGCTTAATAAGCAGGCTACAGTCTACATTATAGACTGCCAGTACACTCACCCAGCTTAATAACCAGGCGACGGTATTATTGTTTATTCTTTTTATTCACTTAATTTTATTATACATTTTCTATCGACGTGGCTTTACCGAAAGAACCAAAGAATAAGCAACACGCTGCCAACAATCGCAGGATGTGCAAAAAAAAGCCTCGGCACAAATTAAGTACACACAAACTACACATCAATTACACAGCAAGTACACATCAATTACACATTAAGTACACATCAATCACACAACACTCATACATTTCCACGATCGTACCTCATCATCTTGAAATTTAAATAAATCGGCCCACGGGCCATGAGGGAAAATGTAATCTCGCGAATCCAGTTCCTGTGCCGTGCACCGTGAACTTCGCGTTTTGATTTAAATTCGAGCGTCACTCTTCACGAGCGTTCCTTGTCGGACATATCACTCGGTCAGCCTCGCTCTTTCTAAACTCTCCAAAATACTGTAATGACGCTCCACACAGCAACAGCGGTACCAGATCTCCGTACAAATACATTCCTGCCACCCGGACACAGTTGCCACAAAAATGTGACCACCAATGAATCACCGTACGCTAGTATGTGTATGTATGCATCAGTGTGTGTCTGTGTGTGCATCAGTGTGTGTCTGTGTGTGTGTCTGTGTGTGTGTGCATTGAGTGGTGCAATGATACACTGCTGGTCTGCCCAGCCAGGAACATGAGTTTTAATTGCTGGCCATGGAGAACATCAGAAGGCAATTAGGATCAAAATCTGCTTTTATTCTCTCCTAGGTCAAATATGTAGTCAGAGATTTGCTATGACAACATTCAAGCAGGTTTTTACTTCCTCTGTTGTCATGAATTATTGATAAAATGTGACTGCTGAAGCGAAAACAAACACAATCGTGTTAAGGAATCTAGATTAATGCGAATATTGTTTTAATATGTATATTAAATATGTGCCAACAATTTGTCAGCAAATTGGTCAATCAAACTGAAAGCATTACACTCGGATTTTTTTGGAACACAGAACTGCACTGTATATCTGTGAAACATGTATAAGTTCAAGAGTAGAAACGAACTGAATCTCTATTTGAGACAGAGAAATGCACAACAGGGAGCTGGCGACAGAGACGGCGCCTCGTGCAACCCGCGGGGCAACGATTTGCGTCGCAAGCGAATTCAAGTTTCACCTGTCGTATTATTTTGCACCATCGTAAGATCTTAAAAATGTGCAAACGTGCATTTCCACAGAGGCTACTGGGCATTCAATTCTTATTATGTGCTTGCCACAACACGTGCCTGAACAGCAGGCCTGTCTGTGCACGGGACGTGTGCCTGTGGTTATGTGGTTTGGCTGTGTGTGTGAGAGAGTCCTGTTGCGAAGAGTTTTGTTTAACGAGGCGAGACCTCAAGAGGCAACCACGATTAGTCACAATTGCAAAACAACCTTCGGCAAAGCTGATGGTACATGTAAAATAATCACAACTCAATCATTCTATAATCCTATTGACATTTGTCGCATCATCTACTCTGAAGTCCGTATCATCCATGTGGATGACACGATCGCCCTTTCCCTGTCACCTGAGTATTTACCGACCACGCGATCTGATGAAAGTGGTGTGTTGTGTAACCAACAATCGCCACACACAACCTCATCACCTGGGCTGATGAGGTCGTGTTTCGAATAACTCAAAGTACATTTCATACCAAACACGCACAGGCCGAGCACGAAGGCCCAGCGAAATTAAAGCAGGAAGGTCACTCCAATATCGTGATCGTTTTGCCACAATATTTATTGGACTACGACAATAAAAATATGAATTCAATATAGCCATTACACCATAAAACTACGTCTTAAAAAATCTAGGTAAAATAAAATAATGAAAACAAAAAACATTTTATTTATTTTTTTACCTACGTGACTTTACCGAAAAAAACAAAGAGTATGAATCATTGCAGTCACGAAAGCTTCAAATCTAGAATTAAAAAAATCTACTATAATTTCTTTGGAGGTTTTCCTTGAAAAAGGGTCATGACTTGTGATTTCCGGAGCATCTTCCAAAGCATCCTCTCAAAGTTGAGGTCATGGTTGGCATAGAAAACGAGCTTCTGCTTTTGGTCATAGTAATGGTCGGGGAAGTGCTTGTAGGTGCTGGTTATGAACCCATAGGCGGAAACCTGCCCATCGGGATGAGAAAAATGAAATGAAATGGGACATCCAAACTAATGTAACACAAATCAACCGTCTATTACATAGTCTCGTGTCGAAGTAGGACCCGTATCTAACAGAGAGGGCTCTTGCCTGTAAATACCTGGCTGTTCAACAGCATTGCTTCAAGCGTGCCTGACTCTTGCTGATGAGACACTGCATGTAAAAGCTGATCCAGAGTTTGTGCATTAAACCAATGCTACTGGAAAAACTACTTTTGAAATGCTGCATGGCTGATTGGTTGTGTAACATATTTTTTTATGTTTAATGTGGAGAGACAAGTATGGGGAGGAGGCGACTTGTTTGCTTATTTATGTGTTACTAATATTCTGTTTTATCCATCTCCATATCCTATAAGCAAATCCTTACAGGATGCATCTGCAATAAGAATACAATGTGATCTACCTTTAACTAGGAACACACGACATTAAATGCACCCTACTTCATCGGATCTCGGAAGCTAAGCAAGGCTAGTCCTTACGACGGGTAACCCACAAGGAATGTCAGGCGTTGTCGGTGTGAGGGCGAGGTAGCTAAGATATGGCATTGCTGAGTGTCTTCCCCTCGTATGCTTGATTTGTCTCCGGGATTGTCAAAATATTTCCATTTAGCAGAGGCTTTCTGAAAAGAATCTTGAGCCTCAGCGAAGTTTTCGTGGGTAGTTGTGGCATTATTATATTTTAGAGCTGATTGTTTAACCACTCAATTTCCGATTATCGGCTTTATTACTCGGCCCATCATGGATACAAAAATAGTTGGGAAAAAAGTGTGGCCTCTGTTCCCAAGTGTGCCGCCGGATGGGAGGTGGTGGGCGGGGCTTAGTGACGTCACTGGCAGGTGAGCCGTGTCACTCCGAGCGCGGCTCGGAGGGAGTTTCCTGGCAGCAGGTTGGCAATATTTCGGGCTGTCACCGTATTTAATGGGACACAAGTAATTGTTTACAAACATAAGAAATTGCTTCCAACTTTTAGCTAATTAACCAACTCAATCGACTAATTGGGCCACATCCAAGTCTATTATATTTTCAGTGCTTGGTGCTCATTAACGGAGCAGCCCGCAGAGGAAATGTAATCCTGCAGTCAGTGATCATTTGTCTGTATGCGAGGTGTCAGGGACAAGAGGCACATTACCTGGTCACAGGTGTGCAGAGCTGTGAGCAGGGCTATGGCGCCTGTGCTTGGCCTATAGAGGTCTTTAAACTTCGTTTGAAGACGTGTCGAAGGCAAAAAACTGAAAGGGGGAAAAATGCAGACATGGCAGAGTTTGTGCTCAAAAGATTCCAAAAAGCACTTTAGGTTTTGTAATAATACAATGTACGGGACTTTACCGAGAGACCCAAAGAGTATCAATTCCTGCAGTCACGAAAGCTTTAAGTCAATATTTAATCCAATGTTATAATACATTCAGTCAATATGCAAAATGTACATATTATTTAATAACATGAATGGATGATAATGGATGATATTGGTCGCGAAAGCCTACGTATTAAACTAACATGAATGTGTTTAAAATTGCCTTTTACAAGGTACACTGTGTCAAAAAATGTATTGTTACAGATATCCGCAATTCTTATTATGGGCAGCAGCAGCGGGGTCCATGACTGGCTCCCAGTTCTCCTTGGGCTCTCGTCATGCCATCATCCACCATCACCTGTCATGCCGTCATCCACCATCACCTGTCATGCCGTCATCCACCATCACCTGCAATCATCCACCATCACCTGTCATGCCATCATCCACCATCACCTGTCAGGCCGTCATCCATCATCACCTGTCATGCCATCATCCACCATCACCTGTCATGCCGTCATCCACCATCACCTGCAATCATCCACCATCACCTGCAATCATCCACCATCACCTGCCATCATCCACCATCACCTGCCATCATCCACCATCACCTGCCATCATCCACCATCACCTGCCATCATCCACCATCACCTGCCATCATCCACCATCACCTGTCATGCCGTCATCCACCATCACCTGTCATGCCGTCATCCACCATCACCTGCCATCATCCACCATCACCTGCCATCATCCACCATCACCTGCCATCATCCACCATCACCTGCCATCATCCACCATCACCTGCCATCATCCACCATCACCTGCAATCATCCACCATCACCTGCAATCATCCACCATCACCTGCCATCATCCACCATCACCTGCCATCATCCACCATCACCTGCCATCATCCACCATCACCTGTCATGCCGTCATCCACCATCACCTGTCATGCCATCATCCACCATCACCTGCCATCATCCACCATCACCTGCCATCATCCACCATCACCTGCCATCATCCACCATCACCTGCCATCATCCACCATCACCTGTCATGCCGTCATCCACCATCACCTGTCATGCCATCATCCACCATCACCTGCCATCATCCACCATCACCTGCAATCATCCACCATCACCTGCCATCATCCACCATCACCTGCAATCATCCACCATCACTTGCCATGCCATCATCCACCATCACCTGCCATCATCCACCATCACCTGCCATCATCCACCATGACCTGCAATCATCCACAATCACCTGCAATCATCCACCATCACCTGTCATCATCCACCATCACTTGCCATGCCATCATCCACCATCACCTGTCATCATCCACCATCACTTGCCATGCCATCATCCACCATCACCTGCGAATTCTCCCAGCCACTGAAGAACAGGGCCCATTAACTCGCCGCGTTGTGTTTGTGTGAGAGAAGCCACGCAGCAAATCACCCAGATCGTCAGATCGTCAGATCATCAGATCGTCAGATGATTTGGGTGATTGTCAGATTGTTCGGTTATCCACAACCCCGCTGTGCACCACAACCGTTTCACGGATAGCCCCACAGATAATAGGTTCCACTAACCCCCCCCCCCCCCCCACACACACATTGCTACGGAGAAGAGGAGTTCTTCTAACTTAAATAAAGATACTTAAGAAACAACGGTTTTGATTCAATAAATTATTTGGCGGTGCTGCTGCCGAGTTGCCAGTGGTGTACGCAGACAATAAACAACAACAAATATTCGTAAACAAAACAGCCTGAATAAAATAGGTATGTATATAAATAAGATTTGTGACGTTTCGGCCAATGATCCTATGTGCTATGTTTTACTGTGACTGCAATCGCAAAATAAATAAAACATACTTATTTTTTAGGTATCGCAAGAAATCCGGATGCAGCATTTTGAATTTCCTGTCGACATCTTCATTTCCAAAATAATTCCAGGGTCTGAAAAACAACTTGTTTAATTGACACTTTTAGAACGCCATCAAATGATGGACAAACACTGGACTGATGCGAGTATTTGCGAACGCGCAAGCACGTACTTGTCCTTTTTATCCGGCCCTTTATTGACCACGGCACGTCGGGAGGCAGCGGTCACCATGTAGTAGTCCTGGTGGCCGCAAGGAACGAATACGTATCGAGTTTCCTGAAACGCAAAGTAGAAGGGAAAGCTTCGTTTGTCGCAGGTGCGAGTTGCAGCTCTCCGCTGCGCTCTTCCGGTTGTGCCACACAACGTCCGACGTTTCGCGTCACCCTCACGGGTGACAAACGTAGTGCTCACGTTGAATCTGGCTTTCATCGGTGGTCGCTACCCGCTCTTGTGCCAGGCACAGAGGATTGAGTTCAAGGGTGATGGGTCGCTGAGCTCGTCCGTGATCACCGTGTGAACAACCGCGAACGGCGCTACCATCAGCACCATCCTCTCACCGCTGATTCCAAGGCGATGGGGGAGTCTCTTCACCCCTAAAGGAAACGGTACCCCCCATTCCCACAGAACAACGGTGCCAGTCGCAGCGCACCACCTCAACAAACACATACATATCTCTAAATAGCCAAACAAACGTCACTTTCTGTGGCCAATAAGTAAACTTTAGCCCAATCCAAAATACCTGGGTGTCATCTTTGACAGTGAAATAACCTTTAGATCATGCACGTAGTAAAGACATTTGAAAAGGTCAGAACCAAGTCTCAAGTTCATTTCGTGCAACCCGGTGAGAACTCAAGAGACCAGGATAGACTTTAATTTGCAAGAGTCACCTGGGTCACCAACATGACAAAAACAAAACAAATACAATAAAGAACAGCAATGAAGTCAATATCAATTGGTGCAAAAACGACGGTGCTGTCATCGCATTCAAAATAAAATAAATTGCACGAACATAAATCAACGTTAACAAATGTATTCCCTGCAGCAAGTGAGGGTTAACTGGGGGCTTCAATAGAAGCCTTGGTTTGGAACGGAGAGTGTACGGACAAGAGGAACATGAGATGAGAGGTTTGCAGAGGTGAGTCAGTGGAGGATCTAGGGGACGTTGAGTGTGATTTATTTTATTTTATTTTGGATTGGATTGGGAGCCAGTGGTGGGATTGGAGTATTGGGGTGACGTGGTGATGTTTATGATTGTGAGTGACATGTCGTCCGTACGAATAAGGCTCATGACTAGAAGTGTAAACATTCCTGTTGCTAACTTCACAGTCAAAGCCGGTTGTTACCGCACCATTTACCACATTTTAGAAAACATCACAAAAGGTCAGGGCTTTAATGAACACCGTCATCTGCAGTTTAGCGATGATGATGAAAGTGGTCTCTTACTGCTCAAATAAGCATTGAGGCGGTGCTCATCTCCTGTTCACAGCCTGGAGCCAGTGGTGGAAATTCCACATTCCTATGACGGGGGAAAATATATCAATAGAACCAACATTCTTGACTTCCTCACAAAATAGTATTAGTTTTATCGACCTCAGAGGAATTATGGGCCGAGTCAACCCAAAAACTAGGATTCTGAAATTGTCACCTGATTGTGTTCGCTGAGCCAGCTCACCAGAAGGTCAGAGTGGCTGTGGTGGATCTCACCTTAGACCAGGGAGGGTGCATGAACCCAAATTTTCTGTATGCTCTCATGGAATTCTTCATGGTATTGGTTGAAAAAAAGTAGAAGGATGTCCGATTGCCAACATCTCGCTCGAAGCCCGCCGTGATCGCCCCGTTTACCCTGGTGGCCAAAAGATCACAAAAGGTCACATGATGTCAGGCATTTGTGTAATCATTACTTATATCTTGTAACCTACTTGGGTGTAGGTATTCTATCTACCAATATTGTTATTTAGAAATGTTAATATATATATATATGTCTTGAGTTACATTAGGCGAGTTTAAGTATCGTTAAAACAACAACTCTTCTTGGTTGGAATGCACTCCACCGATAGGACACAAGGCAGCCTCACAAGACGTCCCGGGTAGCTTCCCCTGCTCCTCTCAACTTGTGACGAGCCGGGCTGTTGCGAGTTGGGCAACTCAAAGGGAGTCAGCTGTGAGTGTGACCTGAACTGGTACTACACGCCCCACGTCACCAACCTCGCGCACACCGACTCGCATGGTGAAGTATGGTCAACAAATCCGATATCAAGTTACCAAAGGCTGTAAAGTATTCCGTATTCATGAGAACGAGCAGGCTGCACGTCATTTGGATGTGGCTGTCTCTCCCACCCTACCTTCCTCCAGCCAGCCAGCAAAACTTTTTTTACATAAAATTTGTCCAAGGCAAATTTCGTTACAGGAAATTAATTTAACATCGATTCACGGTTCGTGCACGTTTTTTATATCTCGTTGCTTTTGACCCACTTCATATTTGCTTCACTGGTGTACAGTTCTTTATTTGACGTCATTGCTTTTGTGATGTCGGTGACCCAGATGCACACGAGGCGACTCTGCTCTCACGAGTGCTTCAATTGGTTCAACAAATTACACCTGAACCACCTGACCCCCCCCCCCCCTCAATTCCTTGGGGAGGGAGAGGGAACGGCTCGCTCCGAAGACTCCGTACAGGGATCAGGTTGCTCTTCGCCATTGCGAGCAGTTGCGATGCAAAGTTCGTGTCGTTTCTGGCGCCGCACTGAAGACCTGGATCGTGTTCTAGAGGCTGTGATAGAATGATGTTGCCATGTTCTAGTGAACGCCGCCCGCTAGAGCACAGGCAGAGGAGCACGTTATTTATTTACTTTTACTTCAGCTCTGCAGAAACTCTGACCTCCATCTGCGCAATGTCCCCCGTGTCCAACATTCCCTTACCCCAGCTGCCGCTGCGAGCCTCGTAGGTGCCCGCTTGGCACGGCTCCCCGACTTCGACGCTGTCCCCTCTACAGCCACGACGGATCCCTCAAACTCCACGTTGTCCAAAACGCCGCTACGAGACTTCTCACCTCCGCACATGAACAACGCCACCACCCCACCCGCTGCTCCAATCCATCCGTCGGCACCCAATCCAATCCGGATCAACTTCAAGATCGCACTCTCCGTCTCTATAATATCCTCCGCGGATTCACACCTCCCGATCTCTCCCTTCTCAGTTCACTCCGTTGACTCCTCGACACCACAGGCCTGGTTCAGATACCACCTGCACATGATGCTAGCCTCGACCATTATTCGAACTCTGGTGACTTCGTTAAAAGCGCTGTGGGCGACAACACTGATGTGCCGCTCACCACCTTGAATGTGTACATGAACTTCAGATTGCATACTTGTGTCACTAACACGGTCAGCAATGTGCTGACACGCCAGTAGAAAATCAGTTGTACAGGTTTTCAAATATTTCACCTCCGGACTTGGCATTTACGCCCCCCCCTCCCCTCCATTATTCGCAGCCTTGACGTTGAAGGACGCCTGCCCAAGCGATCCAATGAATCTGAATTCCAGGAAAGTACGAGACAGGTGCAGCGTGGAGAGCAACCGAACCTCATCTTGCAAGCCACTGAAATATTGCTGAAAACCATTTCTTGTGACAGAGACAAGAGTCAGAGTTTGACTCCCGCCCCAAATAAGCATTGAGGCATTGGTGCTCATCTCCTGCTTACAGCCATGCTAGGCCAGTCGTGCAAGTTGGCATTCACATAATGGGTGGCGTGGGGGGGGTAACTTGACAAGACAACCTCTGTTGACTTTCCCACAAAGTGGTACGGATCTGATCCACCCCGGAGGGATGATGGTCTGAGTCAACCTCAATCAGCATTTTGAACTCGCAACCTCCCCCATAGCGAGCCCCCATTGCGAGCCCCCATTGCGAGCCCTCATTGCGAGCCGCTCGCTCTGCCACTGAGCCACCCGGACGATACTTCGCCACGCTGGTCAGTGCGGGAAGGCGAGAGGGGGGGCGGCGCGGTATGCCCTGGACCGGTTCAGATATCACTCGCCACGAAGCGATGTTCGCCGTGGCCAGGAATCGAACTCATGTGACTGGGTCCATAGTCTTAATGCAGTGCGCTAACCACACTCGTGCCACCGCTCTCTGACGACAAAAATGGGCTCGAAATGTGTTCGATGTAGAACTGAAAACACGGCGATTCGAGGTTAAACCTCGGGCAATTCAATGGATCTGCAGGGGGCCTTGCCTGAACACGTAGTCGTGGGAATCGATTTCCTCTCCCATCATGGACCCATTGAGGATCCCTCCGTTCCCGACAACGGCGCAGCGGACGCACTTCTCGGCGTCGCGTCCTCCGCCGCCGCCATCAGGCAGGCGGTGGGGAAACATCTCCCGGCACTCCGGGTGGCTCAGCACGTCCACGGCGTCTTCAACATCTGCACATTTAACCCGAAAGCAAAAGAAAAAATACTAAAACCAGAAGCCGTCACTTTTATACAAGATTAGCTCGCTTCAATGACACACCTACCAAGCTCATAATTACCATGTATTGTCACGTGCAGAAGTGTAGTTATGACATCTGGTTCAGAATCGTGGTCGTTATCAAAACGAAATGGAACAAAAATTAGAAAGTGCACACAGAAGCACGGAGAGATGCAGGCTTGGAATGAAGTTGAGAGACAGAGTTACATGGATTACAGAGCGCACGCAGGTTAATGGCATCATTGATATTGTTAAGAAATGTGAGTGGGCAGGACGCAACACGGCTACGAAGAATATTGACAGATTCCCGAGAATAATAATGGAGTGGCAGCCACGGAACAGAATTCATCCGAGGATGTCTTCCTCGAAAATTGAGTGATTATACCAGCACACGGGCAGGTGCGAAGCGAAACACGTTCCTTCGGAGTGGGCAGGTAGGAACTTGGTTGGACAGCGCATTCGTGCACGACAGAAAGCTCGCGGTCACGTGACGCACTTCAACCAATCCGGGAGTGTACATGTTTGGGAGGGGCTATGCACGACAGACAAATACTCCCTGGTGGGCAGTGTGGAACTGTTGTTCCTACCTGTATTATTACATGGCTGGAGAACCCAGAGGAAACCCGTGCGGAACAAGGGGGAGAACATTCAAACTCCACATGGAAAAGCACCCGAGTGGGGAATTGACACCAGGCCCTTCTTGCTGTGAGAGGCACAAGTGTTACCACTGCGTCGCCGCCGCCCTGCCACCTGGAAGGATCAATTTACCCTGCCAGATGTACAAAGGGCTGTAAAATATTTTCACTATCATCATGAAAGAACATAAATTAATTGAATAGAATGAACGAACGAACAACTAACGTACCAGTCCTGTTCATTCCCTTCCAGCCGTACGGAGTGCGGTACTTTGAAAGGCGATCAAACTCCTCTGGGCTGAAGTGTCCCTTGCGCAGCAGGACCGGTATGTTGAAGTCAAACATACCTTGCAGGAGTGGCTTCCTGCCCACCACCCTGCGCAGACTCGCGGAGCAGTTCTGAGCACAAGGGAGGAGGATTGGACACAACGCTGTGAGGTGACGCCGAGTCAGAACACAGAGCACAAATAGCAAAGTCCCCGTGACTCTTGAGGACGGGATAATCCGAAGCATTGTTTTCTCTCTCTCTCTGGCTTCAAAAGCTGAAATCCTCTGTTGCATTGAAGCCTAGCACGGGGCCATATTAACGCAGGGGCTTAGGGGCCTTACCAAGTGGCCTCCAAAATATACATACAATATTGATATCGTGCTTTACAATGGTAAAGATGCAAGTGTAGCACAGCAATTCACTGTTGTGCAGATTGCGCCAAAGTGCCGGAAACATTTTTTTATTTTACTTTAGATATACGTTTATTTACTTGTAATACTTTTTGATTATGAAAAGGTTTGTCTGTTACCCAAATCTACTATAAGTTTAACTCTTCACGTGACAATTTAAAAACTGGTCATCTGAATTGTTTTTTAAATATAATTCTCATCAGGTCCCTTGGTGTTTTGTGTCGTCTCCAACTCTTATTATCCGTTCTGTCTCTCTGGCCTATAAGAGTTTATGCTATGACGAGGAGTGGGCCATTACCTGAAATGTCACCTATTATATACGTTATTTATTTTAAGGCCACACGGTGTTATTGACATATGCGTTGAGTTTTTCTGAAGCTCTGTGGCCAATCCTAGAGATAATGTGGCAATTAAATCCACAGCATCGCTGTGTGTGTGTTGCTCCCGGTTACACTCCTGTAGATTGCGTTCAAAAACGAGAAGTGAAGTAACCGAGCGGTGAATAACCGTGCCATCGTCGTGCACAGGAGGTAGCTAAACCCGTCCAGGGATGGAATTTACACAAATATAGGCCCCATAAACGATAAGAGCCCGGACCCCCCTCAATCACAATCTCACACTTCGTCTTCAAAGACTGCTGAACTTGGGTGCATTAAAAGTTTCACATTTTATTAAATGAAAATAATAAAATGTAGAAAGATGTTTTTACTCGACCATTAGTTTAGCTGAGCACAGGATCAAGGTGACGTTGAATTTAAAGTCTACCGAGGCCACAATTCCCCATGTGGCAAGTGTAGAATGTGTCAATACTTAACACGTTGAGCGAGATCAATGAAAGTCAAATAATTCGTGCATAACCTGCACGTGTTACGGTGCATCAACACCACATCGGTATCACTCTGAACCGCGCCGTGTGCAGCATCCGAGCGCTGTCCACCTTCAAGAAGCAGCTCAAGGCTCGCAAGGGCTGCGGCTCTCGCCTGTGCAGGGCGGCGTACGAGCGACATTGATAGCTGGCTCCGAGTTGTCGATGGTACATCGCGTCCAATAGGCAACACGTGCGCGCGTTGTAAATCACGTTCACTATTAATAATGTGCGGCTCTTCTTAACCTTCACAGAAACCTTCCTTGCGTGTAGCTCACATGTTGTTGTGTCATGGAAAGGTGAACATCAGTGATATATGGACATAAGTGCTGACGATTAGCCTGGGTGTAATTCAGCTCGAGGGACACCCGTACTTGTGTGCCGCTTGTCGACTAACTCAGCAGAAATCACTGACAAACGCGCAGGAGAAGAATGCACACTTTATAGATGCTTCAGGGGAATGTTTGCTCAACTTCTAAGTATTCTACACATGTTCGTATATAAGAGCTCTCGGCCTTATCCAGACCACCAGCTCAAAAGAACGTGTGGCTATTCGTGTGTGTGTATGTACAACGACAAAGGTTCCCCGTGAAGCCTTCACAAGCCGTTGGGGCAAGTGCTATAATAGACACATATGGAGGCCGGCAGGGCACACGATGAGGTAAGCCCCACGCCCGGCCGCTTTCATCTCTCTCGTGGCGATGTTTTACACACTGCACCGGGTATTCATTTGAGGCTGGGTTGACCTAGCAGAGGCCCAGGACCGGTTCATATAATTGTCACTGGTGTTGACCGTGAGCATGATTCAAACTCGGCTTGCCGGGTATGCAGTGCAGCGCAATAACCACGACACAGCAAGCAGTAGATGTCAGCACCAACACAACTCATTACTTTGGCTACTTGTTTGAGTGTAGTTTACAGCTGTGCAACCATCTATCATAATTGCTATTCGCGATGTTTTGTTACCAGGCTACAAATCTGAGGATGGAAAAGGAGCTAATTTCCCTGTCAGGAAGTCCACCGTCGACAGCGATGTACTTGGCTGTTTAGACAGTACAGAGGCCTTCAACTAACAATGTGAACACTTCCGAGAATTGGCAACAAGACCACAAGACACGAGCCTCCGGGCTCTGGAAACCACCTGGAGAAGATTCCAGGTACGCGTTGACAATGATGGCGAAAAAGTGGAGACTCTTTGACTTTTTGAAGCTTTTGACATACATCATGTTACGGTGTATTATCCGTTCTTGTTCCATTAAAAACGATAGTCCCATATAAGTCTTTAACACAATGTGAAGCACCCTATATTTTGCTACTGTTATACATTTCCACACGATAAGCCACTTCGTTGAGTTATCATTTGTGATTGCCAGTAGGTCGCTTTTGAAAAATAGCTGGAGCTCAGTGGGCCTTACCTGGTAAAATAAAATAAAAAATGGATTAGTGGTTTATTTTTTAGTAAATTCCATCAGTCCTTGTGCAAAAGTGAGAATGCACTGTGATCGAGCAGGAGCGGACAGTGATGGCGACAGCATGTGGGGGAGGCCTTCATCCAGCAGTGATGTAGTACCCCCGTGGGTTAGCTAAGTTAGGCACGGTGGCTACCACATTAAGTCGTTATGCTAAGTGTTACCTGTTGTGTTAGCTAATAAATAGTGTTGTCTGCAAAGTCCAGTATGTGCCTGAATTTAACCCACTACACGTGTCTCGTCTAGGCACGGACGGAAAACCCATGAACCGCAATCACGCGTGGTAACTTTTATATTGCCCGACGTTTAAGTTGTGCCTGACATTCACGATCGAAGATAATCACGACCCCACCCAGCGTGCGTTCTCCAGGACACGGGGGGGGGGGGTGACCCGAGGGCCCCCCCAACCCCGGCCACGTCCACGCCAAGCCACGCGTCAAGGCGAAGCCTTCCAGACTCACGTCCGCCAGCGTGTTGCTCTCGCGAAAGTAATCATCATCCTTGTCCAAGCTGATGTTGTACTTTTTCTTCGCCAGCAGCCACTCCTTCGCCGCCAGCATCTCGTCCTCCCTGAGGTCGGGATCCCAGGGCAGGGAGCCGCCAGCCCTCGCCGTCCCCGCCGCCCTCGTCGTCGCTGCCGCCGTCGTCGCCGCCGCCGTCGCCACGGTGGCGTCGAGCGACATCGCGTCCGCGTGGCTTCGCTGGATCCGTTCGTAGAAGAGAGTCTTCTCCTTCAGCCACAGCGCGAAATTGCACCTGCAAGGCGACAATGAGAAGAGACACGGGGTTGTCTGTGCCTCCAGCGGCCAGATGCGTCTCGACTCGACGGAGCGTTGCGCAACCCCACAACTTCCAGGCTGAAACGAACCTGTCTGACGATGACATTGACAGACGTTTCATATAAAATAAAGCCTTCAAAGTAACAATTAGGGTACACGGTCTGGTGCCATGATCTCAGATTACCCCTCCTAGTGGTTAGCTGTGTTTTTTTTATGTTTGTTGCGTCGTTCGCGTGACTTGCATCTCAAAAACGCTGACGGGTTTGTAACGTGGACAGTTTTCTTCTCACAGAGTCACAGGGGGAAGCCGCAGACAAAGCTGAAAGGCACCCAGAACCGGTGCCAACAATTTCCCAAGCTCTGTGATCCTATATTGGGACATTTGGCCAACTTTGTTTCAGGATCTACTTGCGTCCAGCCTCAACGAGGAGTTGGGATCTCATGCTCACAACATCTGGGCCCACCATGGAAGTGGAGAAGGATGGTGAATTCACCATGGAAGTGGAGCAGGATGGTGAATTCACCATGGAAGTGGAGAAGGATGGTAAGCTACCATTCCTGGATGTTTTGTTTGAGAAGAGACCTGACGGCTCGTTGGGACACTCTGTCTATAGGAAAGCCACCCACACAGATTCCTATCTGAAACCTGATTCCCACCACCATCCAGCACAAGAGAATTCCCTCATCAAAACACTACACCATAGGGCCTACTGCATTTGCGATCAACACCACCTAGCCAGTGAACTGGAACACGTACACCAGGCCCTCAAAATGAATGGGTACTCGGACCGCATTATTCGCTAAGCTGTTTCTCCAACCATGGAGAAACAACCCCCTGAGAAGCCAATCAAAACCATCACGTTACCATACATAGCAGGTGTTACCAAAAAGATTTCCAAAATCTTAAAAAAACACAAGATCCAGGTCCGATTCAATACAGTACACAAAATCCGTGGTCTAATCCCATCTGTGAAAGATGTCATTCCTGACATGCAATATCCTGGGAGTCTACAAACTGAGTTGTACCTGCGGTGGAAATTACATTGGGAAATGAAACGACATGTCTCAGACCGTGTTCGCAAACACAAGGCAGATGTGAAACACGGCAGAACTAATACCTCTGCCGTAGCTGACCATTGTTATAAGGCTGTGGGCTCGCATGATATTGTTTTTTACCGAGACCAAGGTACTCTGCAAACCTTCGGGCTACTACCAAAGGTTTGTTCATGAAGCCATCCAGATATATAAACATAGACATCACTTCAATCGAGAAGATGGATCAAATTGAGCAATCATTGGAAGGATGTTATTAACCAGGTAAAACCTTAACTGTTTATGGTTGTTCCATCATATATGCCGGGTACTAGTCTATTTTTCCGAGTTAATTTCTCCCCGCATCCCCAGCGTTTGCCATTGCTGCTTCATTGGCATGTTGCTGCATTGTCACTCGTGCACCGCCCGTGCTTCTGGTGTTGTTGATACACTTGGGCTACGCCCATCCCCAAACCTTGATAAACAATTTGCCTTTAGAGGCTGACTCCTTTTCCTGATGACGACCCCTTGTGTTGCGATGGAAACGTCGTGATTTGTTTTATTTTATTTTATTTCTAACTACGTGACTTTACCGAAAGAACCAAAGAATATGAGCGTTCCTTTGGCTAACCATGGGCCCCTGAATGCAAAGTTTAGCAAAGACACACACCCAAATGGCTTACCTTTGTGGGATAAAAATAAATAAATGTATGACAAACGACAGCTTGAGAGGAAGCGCAGTGGACGTGGAGCAATGCACGCAGCCCTGCAAGCTCGAGGGTGTAAATTCCACTCCTCGTAGAACATTGCTTCTACCACATCATCAAGTGAATTTTTTACCTACGTGACTTTACCGAAAAAACCTAAGAGTATGAATCCTTGCAGTCACGAAACCTTCAAATCTAGAATTAAGTGAATATCTATCCAGCAGTGGATAGAAAATGTATATGTTCAAATTATGACGGGCAGAATACGTTCCTAAATAAAGGATATGGACTTTCATAGCTACGTCACGGACACCTTTTAGCTTTGCGATGGCAGAAACCACTTTTGTCCCGGAGCCTGAGCAGAAACCAGTTTTGTCCCGGAGCCTGAGCAGAAACCAGTGGCACTGGAGGGAGTCGAGTCCTCTGCCGTCATGCAGACGCGATCGTACGGCAAGAGTCAATTACTAGACAACTTCCACTCACTTCCTCCAGCGGTTGTTCATTATTATTACTCCTTTTATTTGACCACATCACACATATTGATTCTACGGATGTTTCGGAGTTCAGCCCCGCAGCAATGTCAGCAACTTCGTTATCAAAAATTGTCGCCGGTTGAAGCTCTACATTCCTTGAGACGATTCGTCGGTGAAGGCAGAAAGAAAGCGAGTTTCTGGCTTGCGAGTTCATTTAGACAGCGAGCGACCAAAGCGGTGCCTCCTCCCAGTGGCTTCAGTCGACTTGTGACTGATTTGGGATTAGACAAAAATTACACAAACTGCACACAAAAACACGCTCAAACAGTGCAAATGCACCTGGTGTCCATATACAGTACCGCATGTAAAACATTCATGTCAATACTTTGTGTGCACGCTCACGAGTTTGGAAAGTGTTGCAGATCAGTTTGCGACAGCGGTGATTGTAGAAACCGCGCCAGTGCAGTGCTCAAACCATCACCACGACGTACACGTGGACATGAGAGCAATGACGCATCAGCTGTGACTCTACAGTCTTCACGACAGCTGTTATTCAATCCATTTGTCATCCTTTACTGTCATCAATTTAATTTTTTACCGAATTCACGCTTCACAGATTCGACCCCATTGCTTTCTCTCATCTATTCTATCCCCCTCATCTCATCCATTACAGTGCTATACCATACTCTTTGGTTCTTTCGGTAAAGTCACGTAGGTATAAAATAAAATAAATCAGTTCTGCTGACCAGCAGTTCTCCTGCTGCTGTATCTGTTCCACCTGATGACGGCCGCTTGTGTTGCGATCGAAACGTCGTGATTTTATTTATTTTCTACCCACGTGACTTTACCAAAAGAACCAAATAGTTTGGATTCCTGCATTAACGAAAGCTTCAAATCAAGATTATTACAGTGATGTGTTGTGTCGTTGTTATTTCTCTGCAAAGCGCATTGATTAAGGTGCTATTTAAATTTCGCTAAGATCAGAATAACATATTTAGATTTTTAAATACAGGGAAAAAGAGTTACGTATTTCAAAGGCTACGGTTATAATGTAAGGACTAGAATTCACAATGTCAGTATTAATGATCGATCAACAAGCGATGAATGCATCTCTTGGATGACAGCATTTGAATATAACCACGGCAGGAACCGAGAACATCTCACGAACCTGAGTATTCCTGCATGGCAGCGTTTGTTTAAGACCCTGACATTGTAAATGTACACGCCACTCCCACGTACCTGAGAATTCCTGCATCGCAGCGTCTGCTGAACACCCTGACATTGTAAATGTACACGCCACTCGAAAGCAGCACAATGAAGGCAAATATCTTTTCGATCGACCTGTAACGCATCGTTGTCAAAATATTCTCCTTATCAAACCTCACGAGGCATGTGCCAAACAAGAACGACACACGCGCAGCGGCAGCAGTCTGATGGAATATTGCAAGCACCGTGGGCCATCTCATATATATGCGTGACAAAAAATGGGTGTAAACTTAAAAAAATCGTGATGTCAGCAAGACGAAGCTTTCAAAGGTGCTCACGGGTGATGACTTTTGAAGGAATCATTTGGCGTGTCAGTGTTTGTCAGGAGATTATGTAACCCAATATATGACGGCAATGTTACTTAACATTGCATCGCTTGTGGAATAAAATGTTCCAGTGAAAAGTAACATCCATATTTTCGTGACATTACACCTTTTAGCATCTTTATTTGAAAGTTTTCTAAAGCGTAACAAGCCACGAAACAAAATCTGTCCGTTCTCCAGAATTTATTCAAGCAAGCCTGACTGCTGATCAGACACCGAATGTCAAAATCGGGCCAAAGTTGTGCTTGTATTGAAGCAATGCTGATGAGATTTGCACTCCCAGGAGGCCGTGTGGCTGAGGGGATGTGTGGAGTGTGCCTCGATGTTTGACGTGGATGTGGATCGACGGATTTGTGGAGGAGGCGACTTGTCTGCTCATGCGTCAGCCAGCAGCAGCAGCAGCGCGTGGTGGTGGTGGTGGTGTGCACCACTCGTGTCTCTGTCAGGCAGCACTGCGTGGTGGTGGTGGTGGTGGTGGTGTGCACCTCGCGTGTCTCTGTCAGGCAGCAGCAGTGCGTGGTGGTGGTGTGTACCACTCGTGTCTCTGTCAGGCAGCAGTGCCTGGTGGTGGTGGTGGCGTGCACCTCGCGTGTCTCTGTCAGGCAGCAGCAGTGCGTGGTGGTGGTGGTGGTGGTGGAGTGCACCACTCGTGTCTCTGTCAGGCAGCAGTGCGTGGTGGTGGTGGTGGAGTGCACCTCGCGTGTCTCTGTCAGGCAGCAGCAGTGCGTGGTGGTGGTGTGTACCACTCGTGTCTCTGTCAGGCAGCAGAGCGTAGTGGTGGTGGTGGTGGAGTGCACCTCGCGTGTCTCTGTCAGGCAGCAGAGCGTGGTGGTGGTGGTGGTGGAGTGCACCTCGCGTGTCTCTGTCAGGCAGCAGCAGAGCGTGGTGGTGGTGGTGGTGGAGTGCACCTCGCGTGTCTCTGTCAGGCAGCAGTGCGTGGTGGTGGTGGTGGTGGAGTGCACCTCGCGTGTCTCTGTCAGGCAGCAGAGCGTGGTGGTGGTGGTGGTGGAGTGCACCTCGCGTGTCTCTGTCAGGCAGCAGCAGTGCGTGGTGGTGGTGGAGTGCACCTCGCGTGTCTCTGTCAGGCAGCAGGGCGTGGTGGTGGTGGTGTGCACCTCGGGTGTCTCTGTCAGGCAGCACTGCGTGGTGGTGGTGGAGTGTACCTCGCGTGCTGTGAAGCTCTCAATGCCGTCGGCGTTCAGGAGGAGCCATACTATGGCTCGCCAGGAGACGGCGCTAAGGCAAACTCATCTCCACCTGAAGAGCGTTGCCCTCTCGCAAGCGTCGGTTTCCTCCAACAATATTAACTCCAGTTTCCTCCCACGTGTATAAACGCTCGTCAATTAGCTGAAAACATCTTCATATCAAGAAGATGGCAGAGCTTGGGCAATCGCCTGGCTGCTGCCTTTCCGCCTGTTTGTGGTTCCTCCTCGCGCCTCTGCGTCGCTGTCTTCGAGATTCAGAGAATGCCGTGCAGCGGCGCGTTACAACTCTTATTGTTATCTTTATTTGTGTCAACTATATCTCCACAACGACGCCAATAATGATTGTGCACTACGTAGAAGTGTTTCGTTGTTTTACTGAGTCTCGGCACTTTTTTTTCAGGCGGGTACTGACAAGTTTTCGCATTCGTGGGCGGTGTTTCTGGGTTCGTGTGAACCTGGGTGTCAGTCATTTGCCGGTACTCGTTCGGCACGCGGCATGTGGCTTGGAACAATCCCAGCCACACGCTGCGTGTGCGCGTGCTGAGCCACGGGAAGAACCCGAAGAACCCGGAGGAAACTCCATGCGGAACAGGGGGAGAACACGCAACTCCACACTCACACACGCAACTCCACACTCACACACACAACTCCACACTCACACACACACAACTCCACTCTCACACACACACAACTCCACACTCACACACACAACTCCACTCTCACACACACACAACTCCACACTCACACACACGCAACTCCACACTCACACACACACAACTCCACACTCACACACACACAACTCCACACTCACACACGCAACTCCAAACTCACACGCACGCAAATACAAAGATCCCCCGTGTAGCCTGAACAAACTTTTGGGGCAAGTGCTGTTAGCGAGCACCTATGAAAGCCGGCAAGGCACACGAAGGGGTGGGTGGCCAGCACTTCGCCCGACCGCCTTTGTCTCCCCAATGGCGATGTTTACACATCGCACCAGGTTCTTGTTTGAGGCTGAGTCGACCTAGGAGAGGCCCATCACCGATTCGGATAATCGTCACTAATACTGGCCATGAGCGGATATCGAACTCGGGTCGCCGGGTTCACACACTGCAGAGTAGAAGGAGCACACACACACTCCACATACACACACTCCACATACACACACTCCACATACACACACTCCACATACACACACTCCACATACACACACTCCACATACACACACTCCACATACACACACTCCACATACACACACTCCACATACACACACTCCACATACACACACTCCACATACACACACTCCACATACACACACTCCACATACACACACTCCACATACACACACTCCACATACACACACTCCACATACACACACTCCACATACACACACTCCACATACACACACTCCACATACACACACTCCACATACACACACTCCACATACACACCCTCCACATACACACACTCCACACACACACTCCACACACACACTCCACACACACACTCCACACACACTCCACATACACACACTCCACATACACACACTCCACATACACACCCTCCACATACACACACTCCACACACACACTCCACACACACACTCCACACACACACTCCACACACACTCCACATACACACACTCCACTCACACACTCCACACACAAACTCCACACACACTCCACTCACACACTCCACACACACACTCCACACACACACTCCACACACACACTCCACACACACACTCCACACACACACTCCACACACACACTCCACACACAAACTCCACACACACTCCACACACACTCAACACACACACTCCACACACACTCCACATACACACACTCCACTCACACACTCCACACACACTCCACTCACACACTCCACACACACACTCCACATACACACTCCACACACACACTCCACACACACACTCCACACACACACTCCACACACACACACAAACTCCACACACACACTCCACACACACACACTCCACACACACACAAACTCCACACACACACTCCACACACACACACAAACTCCACACACACACTCCACACACACACAAACTCCACACACACACTCCACACACACACACAAACTCCACACACACACTCCACACACACACACTCCACACACACACAAACTCCACACACACACTCCACACACACACTCCACACACACACACAAACTCCACACACACACTCCACACACACACACTCCACACACACACAAACTCCACACACACACAAACTCCACACACACACTCCACACACACACTCCACACACACACACAAACTCCACACACACACTCCACACACACACACTCCACACACACACAAACTCCACACACACACTCCACACACACACTCCACACACACACACAAACTCCACACACACACTCCACACACACACACTCCACACACACACACACTCCACACACACACAAACTCCACACACACACTCCACACACACTCCACACAGAAAGGTACCCGAGTCTGGAATCGAACCCAGGTTCATCTTGCTGTGGGGCGCGATTGCAACGCAATTCATAATTTACTAACAAAGCTGTTGAGACTTTAGTAATATTCCTCAAGTATTATATTACTCACAGTACATATGATCAAATTGAGCATTTGCATAATACGAATCGTAACACTTTACGCAAAATTATCATTAAAATCCAAGTAAAACATGTTAAGGAATATCATCTGCAACAGCGGCTACAATCACAGCAAGAGCAAACCTCGTCAGGGCAGCACTCGTCATAGCAAGCACAGGAGGTGTCGTGATTGAGGGTTGCAACACAGAGGACGACGGTTTCAAACAATGGGGGGCGAATTTTGATTTAAAGCTTTCGTGACTGCAGGGATTCATCTTCTTGGTTCTTTCGGTAAAGTCACGTAGAAGGGAAGTAATAAAATAATAATATTACTTCCCTTCTACGTGACTTTACCGAAAGAACCAAGAAGAACAATGGGGGGCGAGTTCCACCCCCTCCCAAAGCCGAGCACCACCACCACTCGCCGGTCCAAACCTCCGTGTTGTGGACACCACCGCGTTGGTAACACGGGGGGGGGGGGGGCTGATGTCGATGCAGAGCAGCAGCTGCCGTGGCTTGACACCGAGGTGGGCAATGAGCAGGATGATTGCGAAGGGGAGGAGGTGCAGAGTGGAAGATCTGGCGTGGAGGGGCGCTGTAATACAATGAAATCGTACGCCCGACCAAATCACTCATCACAGATTTACCCCCAATATATGGAAGTAAATTGGGCGTGGCGTTAGCCGATGTGGGTGTCTTTGCCAATAAAATGTTTTATTTTGGTGTTTCTACCGTGCTGCTTTGTGGCGCTTCTACCACAGTAGGGGGCACAGCTGGTGGTGCATCTACCGGTCATCTCAGTCAACCCATGGCACCTGCTGGGTCTGTCCCGTGACATGCACGTAACCTGGCACAGTAGGGGGCACAGCTGATGGTGCATCTACCGGTCATCTCAGTCAACCCATGGCACCTGCTGGGTCTGTCCCGTGAACTGCACCTAGCCTGGCACAGTAGGGGGCACCGCTGATGGTGCATCTACCGGTCATCTCAGTCAACCCATGGCACCTGCTGGGTCTGTCCCGTGACTTCCTGTCGGCGAACCTTCGACACTTCACTTGGTGGCCTCAAAGTGCACCTAGCCTGGCACAGGCGCCGTGGTGACATCACCGTCACTTAGTGGCGAATGGCGGGAGTGATGTTGGTGGTCTTGTGGATCGTGAATCGCGGTTCTTGTATCAATTCCGCTTCGTCAATCGGGTAGCGATCTTGAAAATGTACGATTTTATCTTAGATTTAATTCCACGGTTCACATATACAAATAACGACTGTATTGATGTCCTATTTGTACGTAACGTTTGATAGTAGTTTGTTCATATAGTCGATCAGTGCTGTATTTAATCGCTGTCTAAAAAAATATGTTTTGTTTATGTTTAGAAATCTATGTGATGCTGATGTGCGATTTCACCATAGCCGCGATTCAGTGTATTCCGATGCCCTACTTAATCTTAAACTAGACTCTGCGAGTGTCCGACCTTTTATTAAACTTCATGAAGTGAGTGCAGACAAGACCATTGCATTCTGATGTCCTACTTCATCTTTAACTTCGCCCTGTGAGCAGTGCCGGATTATCCTAGAAGCAAAAGTAGCTACTACATATGATGCTACGGGCCCCGCACTTTAAAGGGCCCCGCGCTAAATGCTTTCAAGCTGTCAATTCCGGTTCAGTGATTCTGCATTTGCTCGATTACTATAGTTTAGCGATTTGGCTGTATAGAAAATAAAAAATAGAATTACTTTCCTATGCAAGTTAAACATTTACTATTTTAATATTTACGTTTTTTTAAATTTAGGGCCCCTTTATAACATTTGCTGAAGACCCCGCACTAGCTTAATCCAACACTGCCTGTGAGTGTCCGATGTTATGATAAACGTCACTTAGCTCGTGCAAACAATGACACACACACAGACTGACACACACACAGAGACTGGCACACACACAGACTGACACACACGCACAGACTGACACACACACAGACTCAACCCGGCTTCGACTTCTGCAATCGGACGCCTCGGTCGCGTACCGGGTGAGCTGGTCATGGACATCACCGTGAATCTGTGTCCTGTAATCCTCCCATCATCACCGCCACAGTTCATCAACACACGGATCGTCGGAGAGATGTCCCTGCTCAATTGCGCGTTTGGGCACTGGTGCCCATCTCCCGTCCACAGTCCTGCAGATCCAGTGGTGGAAATTCCTCATTCCTGTTGCACGGACGAGTTTACACACAGGACAACCACTCGTGTGTGTACATTGAACTGCTTTCTCACCGTGCGAATCCAACCGTGTGAATACAACCGTGAGGATCCAAGGTGCAGGGGAAGGGCAACAAACGAAACACAAAAAGCAGTTCGAAAGCATTGAGTTGATTTGAAAACGCATTTCTTTAAAACTTATTTTTGTGTTGTTGCTGACACCGTCGACTTCCTCACACAAGCCGTACTCGGTCTATCGACCCCAGGGGCTGATGGGCCGAGTCGATCCCCACCCAGCCAGGTTTTGCCGAGCCGCCCGACTGGACGTGCTGCCCGTGTTGCTGGGGTAGAGGCACCATTGCGGGTGTGTGTGTAGCCACTGTTACACGCGTCGAGTGTGGCAGCTGCTGCTGCTGCTGCTGCGGTGGTGGTGGTGGTGGTTGTGCTGGTGGTTGTGGTGGTGGTGGTTGTGGTGGTGGTGGGGCTGTTCGTCTCGAGTTGGGGAGGTCGTGAAGTAGGGACCGGGCGTGCTGCACCACGAGCCTGGTGACCCGAGCTCGATTCTCGCTCATGGCCAACACCAGTGACGTTTATCTGAGCTGGTCCTCGGCCTCCCCTAGGTCGACTCAACCTCAAATAAGGACCTGATGCGGTAAATATCGCCACTGGGGAGAGGCCGGGTGTGGTGCTGGCCTCCCACCTCATAGGTGCTCGCTAACAGCACTCGCCCCAACAGTCTGTTAAGGCGACACGGGGGATCTTTGTCTTTGATGGTTGCTGTGGTGAACTGGAGCACTGCGGTTGGAGAGTCGCTCCTGTGGGCGTGGTCAGGCACCTTCACCAACCGCCACTGGGCAGTGCGGGGAAGTATGGTCAGTCTCCCCGGTGTCAACATCTTGTACATGACAGTGGCAGATCCAAATGGGGGGCGGGGGGTGACAACTGCCAAGAGGGACGCATCGGTGGTCACGTTTCGGCGTTATGACATCACAATGCCACGTTACGTCATATCCTCATGGCCCGCCAGCAGACGGCAATGGCAATGACTAAATTGTGAGTGGAAGCAGATTGTAACACCGCGACCGCACAAAAGACAAAGATCTCCGACGTAGCCTTCAACAGACAATTGGGGCAAGTGTTGTTAGTGATCACCTATTAAGGTCGGCATGAGACACAAGGGTGTTTGTGACCAGCACCACGACCGGCCGCCTTTGTTTCCCTAGTACTGATTTCTACACACGACACCAGATACTCATTTAAGACGGAGTTGACCTCGGAGAGGCCCATTACCGGGTCAGATATTCATTCATCACCAATGTTGGGATATGAGCAGGAATTGAACTCTGGTCACTGGGTTTGTAGCAAAATATGCTTAATCACTCTGCCAGCGCTCTCCACACGTGCACACACACACAATGTACACGCGCGCGTGCGCGCAACAGGCATGCGATCAACGAGGTTTCGAGTGGGCGCTGGTACCAAGTGCTTGTTTATTACATGGAGCCAGTGGGAAACAGCCTCCACCCGTTCAGCATAGTCCGTTACATCACATTGTTTTACAGGCTTTTTGTGACAACATATTTGGCAAAAAGTTGCATGCATTTTAGAAAATAGCAAAATAGATCTGTAAGTCGGCACGCGGAGCACGGCCAGCAGAGCCCGTGGGGTCAAGGCAATCACGGGGGTCCTCAAGCCCCATCCCACCAGCGCTGTGGGTCGGGTCCCACGGCACAGACGGCCCCACTCTCCCGGCTAGGCCCCACTCTCGTGGCTGGGTCCCATACCCCACCCTGTTGGCTATCAGCGTCTGCAGCCAGAGGACTGAGGAACCTGGCCCATGCAGCTTCCCCCGTGCCCACCTCCTTGGGGTGACGATGCCGCGCGGCGAGAAGCCAAGGCCGTCATAACGCGTTCTAGAAAAATACAAAACCGAGGCGCGCCGCTCCTCCTGGCGCCGTCCCCGTTCGGCGCTAGAAGAGCTGCGAGGCCGCGCCGAACACCAGGTCCTTTCCACCGCCGCCGGCGTCAAACAAGTCCGCGGACGAGAAGGGCCCGGCGGGGGGCGCGTGCGCCAGCGGGGCAAGGCCGGACGCTAGCTCGGCCCAGTCCACGCCGTCCTCGTCGCGCTCGCGGTCCGAGGCGCCGCCCTCCGAGCCCGCGCCGGCCTCCGCCTCGGCCCAGAACGCGTCGTCGTCGGCCCAGACGGCGTCTCCGCCACCGCCGCCGCCGCACACGCCGATCACCACGCCGAGCGAGGCCGCTAGCTGGGCCTCGGAGGGCGGCGACGACGACGGGGAGGGTGCGGCGGTGGACAAGCTCAGGCGGAAGGCGGCGGCGAGGCCCAGGTGGCCGCCGCCCACGCCCCCGGTCGGCCGCGCCGGAGCTGGGGCCGCCCCCGGCGGTGACGAGCGCGGCTCCTTCTGCTCGCGGGCGCTAGCGGGGATCTCTGCAGGGGTCACGAGGAGAGGAAGGGAAACATTGATTTACGTGCATGAAACTTTCATGGCTTGTGTTTATTCTTCTAAATTATTTATTTTTCATATCACCATTTCAGTAATGGAGGCCCATGCCTCGTGTTTACAATCCAAAGATAACTTATCTGATCCAGAAAATGTATGCACATGAAATATATATTATTTCCACAAATATTTTTTACTGAAACCAAGTCAGTAATTTAGTAGTTTTTTTGGGATAATTTAATAAACTCAAAATAGTTTTTTTTAAGAGAAATGATCGATTGGGGACCCAGTGTGCAAAGGGATAGCCAGGAGTTGTATACACGTCCCCCAAGAGGTCATGATGGGTCTAATTCTTACACGCAGTTTTATTAACCAATGAAACATGCAAGAGACATCAATATTGCAAGATTGAGCCATTTCATTTGCGCACGGTGACAAAGCTGTGCACAGCTTGACATGCTTCCGCTTCTTTGACGGAGTCCCGGCCGCACGGCACGACCGCGATGCACACGTCGAACGGCCCACACCACGAGAAACGGTCCTTTTATGTTCGTGTCAACGATGAGCGCCTTGGCAACGTATGGTGAAGTAACGCCCATTGCTGTCGCGGCGTGGGTACAATTTCATCCAGCATCGCAAATTGCCAAAAGCCTGTCAATTATTTTAAGACACCGTGATGGAAATGATTTGCATGATCTCTGTAGGGCCGAGAGGCAGCCCATGTAAAACCATGTGTAAGGAAAGACAAGAGAGTCAAGTGTCTGTTATGTGGGGGTCTGCTGTCTGGAATGCTGTGGCCCAACGCCACGGTTTTGAGTCTATATTCGTGTAGTTTATTGTTTCGTCTTATTTTCTTTCCAACTAAAGAAAAAAGCCTCATATTTGGCTTGCACTTAACGGAATCATAAAAAAGAAACTGTGCTGGTCGTGTTGCGAGTTGTGTTTCCCCCTTTGTTGCCGCGTCACCTCCGTTCTCGATGAGGATGTCCAGGAGGTCGTCCATGTGCTGCTCCAGGCCTCCCTGGGAACGACACGACGCCGGGTCACAGCGAGCGCCACGCGACGGCGCGACGGGCGCCACGCGACGCCGGGTCACAGCGAGCGACGGCGCGACGGCGCGACGGGCGCCACGGGCGCCACGCGACGCCGGGTCACAGCGAGCGCCACGCGACGCCCGGACGCGAGTCAGAGACTCGCGAGCGCGGCTTCTTTTACAGAGGGACTGGCCGCCACATTCCGCCCCACGATTCAAGTTTCAAGTTTTGTTGAACCCGTTGAGAACAAGAGACCAGGACGAGTCCCATTAAAGACAAATACAAGCATCAAGCAAATAGGGATACGAGCGAGAGCAGCCGCGTCACAGTAGAAGTGGACGAGGGGGGGTTGGGGAGGGGGGGCGCTCGCCTGCATGGAGGGGGCCTTGTGCTTGACGGCGTCCTCGTACGAGGGCGGGAGATCAGGCGTCTCGAGCTGCTCGTGTGAACGGACACACGCGCACACACAGACACACACACACAGACACGCACACACAGACACGCACACACAGACACGCACACACACCTACCATTAATAGTACACAATTGGTAACGTGCGCAGTTTTCCTTCACTCTCAGAGAATGATTCAGAGCCGTGGAAAAGCACAAACACGGGGGAATTCAGCAAATAGTGACACCATTTATTTCCCAAGCTGTGTGATCCTGCCTTGTGCTTCTACAGTGCACGTGGGAGGAAGCCGCAGTACGCTTGCTGCAATCCCGTGACGAGTCAGCAGAGGGCGACCTCGACCCCACGGGTCGGGAGGGAATCTCATGGGCGTGTGTATGCTCCGCCAACCCCACGGCAGTGCATTCCGGGCCACGTGCAGCACGGGCGCCCGTGCCGCCCCCAACCTCGCCGTGAGAGCAGCGCAAGCCTCGAGCGCAACGCAAGCCTCGAGAGCGATCGTGGGCGCGAGCTCGGGAAAGGCGGAGGCTCGGGGAGGGCGGAGGCTCACCCGGAGGGCGTCCCCGGGCCCCGGGCCGTGGTGGGACGGGCTGTCGGGGAACGCAGCGAGCTCCTCGCGCTCCGGCGCCGGCCGCTCGCGCTTCACCTCGAGCGGCGGTGCCGCGACGCCGGCGGGCGTCGGCGGAGTGCGCGGCGGGGGCTCCCGGTCCGCCTCGGCCTCCGCCCCGCACGGCCCCGGCGCCGGGGGGACGGCGCCGTCCCCGGCGAGGGACTCCCGCTTCACCGGCGCGGCGGTCGGGCTCGGGGGCGACCTCCGACGGGGGTCCGCCCGAGGGAAGCAGAACGCGAGCGCGTCCTCGCGTCCCCCGGGCCCGTCCCGGCCGCACGGGGCCCGCGGGACAACGGGGTCCCGGCTCGGGAGAAAACCGGGCGACGCTCGGTTTCCTGGGTAACCGGGCGAGACCCGGGCTTGCGGGAAGCTCGGCGAATGCTGCTGCGGTGGCGAGGCCTGGCCGCCGTGCCGGAGGCTTTTCTCGCGCGCGATCTGCCTCCGCAGCTCGTCGGCCTGCTTCTGCTCCTGCTCCAGCAGCCTCTGCAGCTCCTGGATCTTCCTGCGCTTCATCTCGAGCAACAGGCGGTCTCCGGCCGCCGCATCCGCCTCGGATCCCGGGCTCCCCGTCCTCTCCTCCTTGACCCCGGGCGAGGGGGCGAGGACGCCGGGGGTTCCGCAGGGACCCGGAGAGAGCGACGAGTCGCCGGAGTCGCAGCCCGGCTCGGGGTCGCCGTCGGGGGGGGGCGGCGCCGCGGCGGGGGGGGCGCTCCCCCCCCCCGCGGAGAAGGCGCGGCGGAGCCGCTCGAGCAGCGCGGGTTTGGTGCCGGAGACGGGCAGCGAGCGGCGCTTGAGCTCGTGCCTCAGCTCCGTCACCTGGCGCGGACGAGCGGCACGCGGGCGGCGGGGGAGGGGGGGACACGCGAAGGCGTCATCGCGAGGCCGCGCGCGACGCGACGAACGCACGGGAACGTTCCGCCCGTTTTCTTGTGCCGGCGGAGTTGCGGCGACTCCCCAATTCACCTTCATCTCGTCCAGGCTGGAGGGCAGGCCGCCGGCGCGGTGTGCCGGGCTGCTGCCCGACGAGCTTGCGCCAGGACTCGCGTCGGGCCCGCTCGTCCGAGGCTCGGATTTGATGGCGCCGCGAGTCGGGCTTGAGGGTGGGAGACTTCACGCATGCAGAGGGTCACGGTTACACTGGCAGCATGGCACACACATCGTGCCTTCATCACCCTGCCATACATAGCAGGGGTAACCAAAAAGATTTCCAAAATCATGAACAAACACAAAATCCTGGTCCGATTTAACACACTACATAAAATTCGTGATCTGATCCCATCCGTGAAGGACAAGAATCCTGAACATGCAATATCCCGGCGTCTACAAACTAAGCTGGATCTGCGGCAGCAGTTACATTGGGGAAACTAAGCGACATGCTTCGGACCGTGTTCGAGAGCATAAGGCAGATTTGAAACACGATAGGACCAATACTTCTGCCGTGGCTGATCATTATTTTAATGCGACTGGCTCACACGAAATTGATTTCTCTAAGACGATGGTACTTTGCAAGCCAACTGGCTATTGACAATGATTCGTTAATGAAGCCATCCATATATACAGACACAGACACAATTTCAACTGAGAGGAAGGTTATCGACACAGCAATCATTGGAAAGATGTCATCAATCACTTTGGGTCATGACTTGACTTGTGCTGTATTGTCAATCAACCTCCACCGTCAGCAGTGTGGTGCGTGTAGTGTGGTGTGTGTAGTGTGGTGTGTGTAGTGTGGTGTGTGTAGTGTGGTGTGTGCAGTGTGGTGTGTGTAGTGTGGTGTGTGGAGTGTGGTGTGTGTAGTGTGGTGTGTGTAGTGTGGTGTGTGTAGTGTGGTGTGTGGAGTGTGGTGTGTGTAGTGTGGTGTGTGCAGTGTGGTGTGTGCAGTGTGGTGCGTGTAGTGTGGTGCGTGGAGTGTGGTGTGTGTAGTGTGGTGTGTGTAGTGTGGTGTGTGTAGTGTGGTGCGTGGAGCGGGTACAGTGATTTCCTGGTGGCCCCTTTGCTGCATTGGCATCGCGGCCGCATTGGCATTGCGGCCGCATTGACATTGTAGCCGCATTGACATTGTAGCCGCATTGGCATTGTAGCCGCATTGGCATTGTAGCCGCATTGGCATTGCTGCTGCATTGGCATTGCAGCCGCATTGACATTGTAGCCGCATTGGCATTGCTGCTGCATTGGCATTGTAGCCGCATTGACATTGTAGCCGCATTGGCATTGCTGCCGCATTGGCATTGCTGCCGCATTGGCATTGCTGCTGCATTGGCATTGCGGCCGCATTGGCATTGCTGCTGCATTGGCATTGCTGCCGCATTGGCATTGCTGCCGCATTGGCATTGCGGCCGCATTGGCATTGTAGCCGCATTGGCATTGTAGCCGCATTGGCATTGCTGCCGCATTGGCATTGCGGCCGCATTGGCATTGCTGCCGCATTGGCATTGTAGCCGCATTGGCATTGCTGCCGCATTGGCATTGCTGCCGCATTGACATTGTAGCCGCATTGGCATTGCTGCCGCATTGGCATTGCTGCCGCATTGGCATTGCGGCCGCATTGGCATTGCGGCCGCATTGGCATTGCTGCCGCATTGGCATTGCTGCCGCATTGGCATTGTAGCCGCATTGGCATCGCGGCCGCATTGGCATTGCGGCCGCATTGGCATTGCTGCCGCATTGACATTGTAGCCGCATTGGCATTGTAGCCGCATTGGCATTGCGGCCGCATTGGCATTGCTGCCGCATTGGCATTGCTGCCGCATTGGCATTGCTGCCGCATTGACATTGTGGCCGCATTGGCATTGCGGCCGCATTGGCATTGTGGCCGCATTGGCATTGCTGCCGTATTGACATTGTGGCCGCATTGGCATTGCGGCCGCATTGGCATTGCTGCCGCATTGGCATCGCTGCCGCATTGGCATCGCGGCCGCATTGGCATCGCGGCCGCATTGGCATCGCTGCCGCATTGACATTGTGGCCGCATTGGCATTGCGGCCGCATTGGCATTGCGGCCGCATTGGCATTGCGGCCGCATTGGCATTGCTGCCGCATTGGCATTGCGGCCGCATTGGCATTGCGGCCGCATTGGCATTGCTGCTGCATTGGCAATGCTGCCCCACCCATGCTACTGGTGCTGCTGATACACTTGGGCTACGCCCATCTCCAAACCTTTATAAACAGTTTGCCTTTAGAGGATAACCCCTTTTACTGATGACGACCGCTTGTGTTGTGATCAAAACGTCGTGATATTTGTATTCACTTCATTTTTTATTATCATGTTTTATATCTACGTGACTTTATCGAAAGAACCAAGGAATATTGTGTAAACTTACCAGGTGAGTAACCATTCAGGTCCCGACTCAAAAATGGACTTTAATAACGGAGTGAGTGTGTCCCCACTCGATGCAGAGGCATTTAAATAATCGGGCCTCAGCACGATGCTGTGGAGTACGGAGTCGTGATCGTAGGATCGATTTCAGACGACACACCCACGCATGATGGCGTGTCCCCCAGTGTCCAATCGCACCCGCAGACTCCGTGCTGCAGTACGCCACATCGAGCGGAAGGTGGCGCTCCAAGCCCACAAAGATTCCCCCCTCTAAACATTCTCAGACCGTCGGGGCAATGTGCTGTTTGGCGAGGACCTTCGAAGGCCGGCACGGCGCACAAGTGGGTGGCCAACAGCACGTCCTGCCGTCTTCAGCTCCACGGTGGCGATGTTTACACATCGCACCAGATACTCAATTGAGGCTGAGTCGACCTCGGGGAGGCCCAGAACTGGTTCAGAGATGAGACACCGATGTTGGCTTTCGCCGGAAATCGAACGTGGGTCGCCAGTTTTGTAGCGCAGTGCACACTCCTATACACAATAATGTACACACCCGGAGCCATACACAAAAAATTGCCATTTGCCACAAAGCGACAGGAATTTCACCGCAGCGCGTGTGCCACACCCTTGCACCGACGCGCAGGCCAATGGGCCCCAGTCACCTGGAGGGTGCGTGCGGCCCTGCTTGGAGGGGCAGCAGCCGCTGCTGCCCCAGCAGCTGCCGCCGCTGCTGCTGCTGCTGCTCGTGATGGAGCTGCACCTCTGGCTGCCGCTGCTGGTGCGGCTGCCCGAGCGTTTGCAGATCCAAAAACATCTGCTGCTGTTGCAGGAGCCGCGTGTAGGGAGTGGTGCCGGCTGGCAGGATCGGCGGGCCGCGGGCCAGGCCGTCGCAAGGTGCCTCCGGCCGACCTCCTCCGGGGCCGCGGGCCGCCGTGGCGGTTTCCGGCGCAGAGGCAGCGGCGGCGGCGGCGGCGCCTCCGCCTTTGTCCGGGGCAGGCCGCTGGCCAGGCGGGACGTACTGGTGGTACTTGAGCTTGCGCACCTTGGGCCGCGGGTCCTTGCCGCGGCTCCTGGCCCGCTGGCCCCCGGCCTCCGGCTGGGGCTGCGTGTGCTGTTGACGGGGAGAGGGAGGGGGGAGAAGAACACATCCATGCCACGTCGTCCGCACCGCGTGTATTTTAAGTTAATCTCCGTTAGCATCTGCGTCGTGTCTGCTCGCTGAGGAGGCGGTGTGTGGTGGGGGGGGGGCGGCGGTGGCGGGGAGGGGGCTCACTTTGACGAGCGGCGAGCGCGGCTTGCTGGGCGGCGTGACTCCTGCCGGCTGACCCTGCCTCGCGTGGACGGGGTTCGCCAAAACCCCCATGGCACTGGCTGTGTCCCCTTGCCGGCCGCGCTGCTGTTGCTGCGAGGTGTTAACGGGAACGAGCGTCGAGAATGAGCGTCGAGAACGAGTGAACCTGCACCACTGCCGTAGTGGATCACCGATCCTCGACATCGGAGTTCTAGAGATATGCCTGTCCGTGTGGGTCCATGTGGGTGTAAGTCTGGGTGTACGTGTGGGTATACGTGTGGGTGTATTAGTGGCAAGCATACTTCACTATGCACCCGGGAAGTTCAATTCCCGCTCACGACTATCATCAGTAATACAAATCTGAACCGGTCCTGGGCCTCACCGTAAAACGAGTACCTGGTGCGATGTGTAAAAATCAGCGGTCGTGGTCCTAGCCACCCACTGCCTCATGCGACATTCTGGCCTTAACAGGTGCTCGCTAACAGCACTTACCCCAGCAGTCAGTTTAGGCTATACGGGAAATCTTTGTATTTCTACTCTTGCCTCCACAGCGTGGTCTCCATGGTAAAGTCTCCATATTAAGGACCCCCCAGAACAAAGAACAGGACTCACGGCGCCGGGATCTGCAGCGGATGAGGGGTCCGGTCCGGGGACCGAGAAATCGAGGGAGGGGTGCTGCGGGGGAGGGGAGGGGCCCTGCGGGGCAGGGGAGGGGCCCTGCGGGAGAGGGGCGAGGCTGTCGGGTGAGAGGGAGCGAGCGTCGTCCTCCTCCTCGTCCACGTGGGCACCGCCTGCGATGGGCAACACATGCACCAACAACAAAGGCATAGATTCCCCGTGTAGCCTCAACATGCTGTCTGGGCAAGTGCTGTTAGTGGCACCTTCATCTCCCCGGTGATGTTTATACACTGCACCGGATACTAATTTTAAAGGCTGAATCGACCTAGGAGAGGCCCAAAACCATTTAACATATTTGTCACAGGTTTTGGCCGTGAGCGGGAATCCAACTCGGGTGGCCAAGGTTCATAGCGCAGCGCACTAACTACTGCGCTACCACTCCCCACTTACATACATTTACTATCGTACATACACGTACATAGAAACACAAGCACATAACAACAGCCACAACTCGCCACTAAGTGGCGTCATTCTCACCACAACGCCTGTCCACCTTGAGGCCACCACGTGAGGTGTTCAAGGCTTGCTGGCAGGACGTCACGGGATAGACCCAAGCTTAAGCTTCTCGAATTATGTGTTAAATAGTGTAGAGGGCATCGCTGTCACGCGCTGCGGTGAACAGGAACTGGCTACGACTTCCAGCCCCGTAGCTCTACCCGGGGCTGCCCACCTTCACGAAGGTCCTCAAACATCGTGAGCAGAGGGGAAGGGACGCTCTGCTCATGAGTTGCGAGGTCCGGGTGCGAGGTCCAGGTGTGGGCAGCCGTGCGAGTGGTGAGGATGGTCAGAATGAGTGGACGCTGTGGGACACGTGGTCGGTGCGGTAGTCCGTGGTTATTGTGGACGGTGCGGGCCTCATGGTGCAAGCGGTGCAGGTGGTGCGGGCAGTGCGGTTAGTACGGACGGTGTGGGTGGAGTGGTGAGTGGGGACGGTGTGGGTGGAGTGGTGAGTGGTGAGTGTGGGTGGAGTGGTGAGTGGTGAGTATGGGTGGAGTGGTGAGTGGGGACGGTGTGGGTGGAGTGGTGAGTGGGGACGGTGCGGGTGGAGTGGTGAGTGGTGAGTGTGGGTGGAGTGGTGAGTGTGGACGGTGTGGGTGGAGTGGTGAGTGGTGAGTATGGGTGGAGTGGTGAGTGGGGACGGTGTGGGTGGAGTGGTGAGTGGGGACGGTGCGGGTGGAGTGGTGAGTGGTGAGTGTGGGTGGAGTGGTGAGTGTGGACGGTGTGGGCGGAGTGGTGAGTGTGGGTGGAGTGGTGAGTGGTGAGTGGGGACGGTGTGGGTGGAGTGGTGAGTGTGGACGGTGTGGGCGGAGTGGTGAGTGTGGGTGGAGTGGTGAGTGGTGAGTGGGGACGGTGTGGGTGGAGTGGTGAGTGTGGGTGGAGTGGTGAGTGTGGGTGGAGTGATGAGTGGGGACGGTGTGGGCAGAGTGGTGAGTGTGGACGGTGTGGGCGGAGTGGTGAGTGTGGGTGGAGTGGTGAGTGGTGAGTGGGGACGGTGTGGGTGGAGCGGTGAGTGGGGACGGTGCGGGTGGAGTGGCGAGTGGTGAGTGTGGGTGGAGTGGTGAGTGGGGACGGTGTGGGCGGAGTGGTGAGTGTGAACGGTGTGGGCGGAGTGGTGAGTGTGGGTGGAGTGGTGAGTGGTGAGTGGGGACGGTGTGGGTGGAGTGGTGAGTGGGGACGGTGCGGGTGGAGTGGCGAGTGGTGAGTGTGGGTGGAGTGGTGAGTGTGGACGGTGTGGGCGGAGTGGTGAGTGTGAGTGGAGTGGTGAGTGGTGAGTGGGGACGGTGTGGGTGGAGTGGTGAGTGTGGGTGGAGTGATGAGTGGGGACGGTGTGGGCGGAGTGGTGAGTGTGGACGGTGTGGGCGGAGTGGTGAGTGGGGACGGTGTGGGTGGAGTGGTGAGTGAGGATGGTGAGGACGGTGTGGTGAGTGCGGGTGGAGTGGTGAGTGGGGACGGTGAGGACGGAGTGGTGAGTGGACGGAACCTATACCGGCGCCAAGCTGCAGGCCGGCACTGTCCACGGCGAGGATGTGCCGCTGCACCAGCTCGATGGCGCCGGGCCGCAGCGCCAGTCTCCCGTTGAGGTCGGCGGCGAGGCGCGCGCGCTTGAGCCGCAGCTGCGCAGCCTGCAGCGCGGGCTGGGCCTGCGTGTCTGTGGCCGCACGCGGCGGGGGGGGGGGGGGGGGGAGACGACGGCGGCAGGACCGACGCAGCGCCGGCCGCGTCCCCGCTCTAGACGCTCTGCCCACTGCCACGCTCACTGAACCGGCGGAGCCCATCGGAGCCCATGACGACGTCGCGACAAGCGCCGCTCCCACGGTGACGACGGCCGGGCCGGAATCAAACGAAACGAGACACGTGACGCATGACGAGCGACGCGTGACGCGTGACGAGCGACGAGCGACGCGTGATGATCACGAGTAACGCGTGACGTGGTGCCATCACCACCTTCCAGGATGTGCTTCTTGACGAGCTCCTTGCGGTCTGGGCGGTTCCAGATCTTGTGCTTCAGGAAGTCCTCCGTCTGCGGGAACGGACGGCATGCGCCTGGTCAACGACGATCGCAGCACCCGCTAACGCTCACGTCGATCACTAGCTCACCGTGGGTCAGGCACATCCATATTACTCTTAGATTGCTACTGCTTTGGTTACTGATCCCGTAAACTTTAGTTGTTGATTCCTCTGCCCATGATTGATCATTGAATCTCGTGAGTCGGATCGTAGAACCACAACAATAATTTTTACCGATTAGGTGCCTTTCGCAACGTCTCAAGGCGTCATGCGTAAGGAACAGGGTGACAGACTAGGAGCCAGAGAGGAACAGAGCGAAATGGAAGACGCAATGCCAATGTTGCGTTGTACACCCTCCTCCACCCGACACAGCTAAATAGGGAAGTGCCCATTTGTCATTGCCCAAGCACACCGGTCGCCCCAGCCTATGCAGTAAATCCTCCACCCATGTTCTCATTCACCATTCGTTGTCTGGGTCACAGATTTAACCCAAGCAATGGAGTACGAATCGTAGCGTTGGTCGTGAAAGCCAACAACGTGCAAAATCAACTTCAGTCTTTCGACTTCTTCCCTCGCACTGCTCCACTCCTACCATCATTGTCTCTTTTCCCCAAGCTCTTATTACCATACTAATAACCTCGCTCAATGCAACTTTTATCTTCTACAACTATGACGATGATGTTTATTGCTGGGCGCTTGATGTTTTGGGCCTTTGGGCCCCCATGCCCAGCAACTGTCTGATTTAAACCGGCAAAATTAATCCGGAGCAATTCAGTGCCCAGAGTCCATGTTTGACCTTTGATCCTTTAGCTTGACCCCTGCCCCCCTGGCAACATTGTCCCCCTGTGGCTGCGTTAAGCCTTCCCTATTAACCCTGACCTCTGCCCCCCTGGACAAAGTTGCCCTTCCCCATGGCTGCATTACCCCCGTGCCCTCTGCCCCATAGGCGTGAGTCCCTGGGTTCTCACCCGCGCTCTGTCCAGGTTCCGGATCGCAGAGGCCATCCTGAGTGCTGCAAAAACACACGCACGCAAAGACACGCACACACACACAGACGCACGCACACACAGACGCATGCACGTACAAAATACACACGCACGCACACACGCACACACGCACACACGCACACGCGCACACGCGCAGGGAACCGTTCATGCACGGCGCCGGTTTAGAACGCCGAGGCCGCTCCATGAAAACAAAACAACTCTCAAAGTGATTTTTTGTGCACGCGATCCCGAAACATTTCGGTCGTACAAACTGTGCACTCGTTTTATTTTGAAGTCCGTCTTGTGCTCATGCGTCTCTCGGGCACCTTGGTTTATTTAAGTAATCGTGGTTACCACGATTATTGTTGTTATTGCTGCTGCTATCGCTGCGATTGTCATTATTGCTGCGCAAACAAATCGAGTGGCGCCCGGCGCTGGCCCGCAGAAGCCCAGCGCTGCCAGCGCTGCGAGCGCTGCGAGCGCTGCGAGCGCTGCGTACGCTGTGAGCGCTGCGTACGCTGCGAGCGAGCGGCAAGGCCGCTGGCGTTTCCTCTCCACGGCGCGCTGCCGGATTGGCACCGTCTCCCCCTCACGAGTGCCGCTGCACGGCTCAGCGAGCCGACCACGAGCGTGGAGAGCGAGCCAAGCATGCGTGTCCGCGTGTCGGTAACCAGCGCGGCACGCGCGTCCCCGTGTCCACGTGTCCACGCGTCCCCGCGAGTATATGCTTGTATGTGCATGTGTGCATGTGCTGGTGGGGTAGTGGCTAGCACACAACACCACGACCCGGCGACCCGAGCTCGATTCCTGTTCACGACCAATAACAGTGGCTCATATATGGACCAGTCCTGGGTCTCCCCTAGATTGACCGAGCCTTAAAATGAGTACCCAGCGCATTGAGTGTGAGCACGTGAGTGCACTCACGCGGCACGAGGCGCTGCTGCTCCAGGTTCTCCCACGAGCGCCGCTGCTGCAGCTTCACCTGCAGCACTGGAGACACAGACGCAGTGGCCGCTCAGCCCCGGCCTCCAACCCTCGTCGCTCCTCACCTACGACCCCTTCACCTGCCGCCCCAGAGCACCCCAAACCTCGAGCCCCCCGTCCCGCCTGCCCCCCCGCCCCGCCCCCCGCCCTGCCCCCCGCGATGCCCCCCGCGATGCCCCTCGCCATGCGCGCATTCCATCGCGGCTCGCCGAGCTGCGTCGCGGGGATGCGCGGCGTCGCGGTTGGCTCTGCCTCAGAGGCCCTATTAGGGCTTTCGATTCCCACTGCTCCGACGCAAACCCTGCCAGAGGCGAAACGCACGCGCACGCACGCAAGACGTTACCGAGCCGGCACGTGTGTAACCTCGCCAGGGATACGAGCAGCAGAATTTCCCATTTTTGGAATGCGAGGCGTGTGTTTTTTTGCAAAAGCGTGTTTGGGCTGGCACGCGAGCCGCCACTTTTTTTGACGAGAAAATTACGAAGTGCAGCGAGTGACATCACTCGGCGTGTTGACCGGGGAGGCAGCGGGGGGGGCTCCACCCGCGGCGACGAGAGGGGGTGGGGGGCAGAGGGGGGGCGGCAGGGGCCGTGACAACGCAGCCAGGCGTGGTGGGGATCCCTCGTCTTGGAGCGAGGGATCCGAAGAGCCCCCCACCCCCGCCACGCTACGCTGGGTCGTGCCCCCCCCCCGTACCCCACCGCCCCCCACCCCCCCGGGTCGCGCCGCCCTCCAGGGGCGGCACGGGGCGACCGCGCGCCGCCGCATGTGGCAGCGATTGTGGGGATGATTAAAGAACGGAGAGCTAGAAAACAATAACACGGAGGGGACTCACGCCGCACCCGCGCACGCCCAATGGAGCCGTCAAATGAGCCGAGCGCTCATCGCCGGGCACGGCGCTCGGCTTTCGGGAACGGGGGAGGGGAGTAGCCAGGGGAAGGGGGTGGGGGGGGCAGCCACCAGGGCCCACGCTGCCAGGGCCCCCCTGGGATGGGATGCCCGTCCCCCACCTCCCCCCCCGAGGGAATCCCTCGACCCTGAGCGGCCAACCACGCGAGGAGGAAGTGCACAAAGGGTCCGGCAATCCCCCTCGTCACCGCCTCAACCACCCACAACCACATGCAGCGCAATACCAACTCAACCACACGCTCTCAGATGCCACTCTCAACTATCGTTGCAATTACCCCCGCACTCTCGCTCCCGTAATCTCTCGCTCTCCCCCCGCTCTATTCCCCAATCGCTCTCACCGTTTTCCTCTCAAAAACTCTCGCTCATCTTCACTTTTGCTTCACCCAACAATGCAAACCGAGAAGCAAACTCCTCACATCAACCAAGGGCAGTGGTGAGGCCTCAGCCTCCAAGGTGCCACCTTCTCCCCCCACCTCCAGTCACCTCCTTCCCCGCAGCCCACACCCGGACGCGTCTCTCGGTGGGCACTCGGCCCATCATCAACACTGCGCGAATCACCGCCAATTACCGGACTGTCCCTGGGGAATACTCGGGGTGACGACCCCATGAAGGGCGACGACCCCCCCCGAGAGGGGCGACGACCCCGAGAGGGGCGACGACCCCGAGAGGGGCGACGACCCCGAGAGGGGCGACGACCCCGAGAGGGGCGACGACCCCGAGAGGGGCGACGACCCCGAGAGGGGCGACGACCCCGAGAGGGGCGACGACCCCGAGAGGGGCGACGACCCCGAGAGGGGCGACGACCCCGAGAGGGGCGACGACCCCGTGAGGGGCGACGACCCCGAGAGGGGCGACGACCCCGTGAGGGGCGACGACCCCGAGAGGGGCGACGACCCCGTGAGGGGCGACGACCCCGTGAGGGGCGACGACCCCGAGAGGGGCGACGACCCCGAGAGGGGCGACGACCCCGAGAGGGGCGACGACCCCGAGAGGGGCGACGACCCCGAGAGGGGCGACGACCCCGAGAGGGGCGACGACCCCGAGAGGGGCGACGACCCCGAGAGGGGCGACGACCCCGAGAGGGGCGACGACCCCGAGAGGGGCGACGACCCCGAGAGGGGCGACGACCCCGTGAAAGGCGACGACCCCGTGAGGGACGACGACCCCGAGAGGGACGACGACCCCGAGAGGGGCGACGACCCCGAGAGGGGCGACGACCCCGAGAGGGGCGACGACCCCGAGAGGGGCGACGACCCCGAGAGGGGCGACGACCCCGAGAGGGGCGACGACCCCGTGAGGGGCGACGACCCCGTGAGGGACGACGACCCCGAGAGGGGCGACGACCCCTCGTCCCAACTCACACCGCCTCGCCCAGGTCCAACCTCCCATAGCCCCTCACTACGTTTCGCCTGGCTTACTTTGTTTACCCACGTGAGAACTCGAGAGAGACGAGCTCGACTCGTCTTTGTGTGACCTTAGGTCAACATATTGGCCCAAATTACAGCAAAGAAGCAAATAGAAATGGGTGCAAAAAGAACCCCGTGACAGAAGAAATAAGAAGCAGTGCACACAGACGTAATTAAATATTAATCAGAACAGAATTAATTTCCTGTAACGAAAGTTGGCTCGGACAAGCGGCAAAAACATCAGCATGGAGTCGGGGTGATTACTCCAGATCCCTCCGCCTCCACAGGCCCCACTGCCTCCCCAGGTGCTGGCACCTGTGCAGGTCACCTACCCCCCCACCCTGCACGCGGGGTGGGGGGTGGGGGCCGGGGGGGGCCTTGGCACTGGACTGCTAAGATAATAAACGCGCCTGATGAGGGCAAGTTCCCAGAAATGAGCGCAAGCGACGCTAATCACTTCCAGTAGCCGCTCAAGGGGTGCCGGGGGAAATACACACAGACTCGCACACACACTCACAAACACACCCGCGCACAGACACAGACCCAGATCCCCTGTGTGGCATACACAGGGGATCTGGGACAAGTGCTCCTGAGCGAGCACCGATGAAGGCCGGTAGGTCACACCAAGGCTGTGGTGTGGCCAGCACCATGCCCGGCCGCCTTTGTCATGCCAGGGCTGATGTTTACACACCGCGTAAGGTGGTCTCTTGAGGCCGAGTTGACCCAAGGAAGGCCCAGGACCAATTTAAAATTGCGAATGCTCGGTTTGTAGTGCAGCACGCGATACACACATACACGCAACAAGGTTCCACCTATAGCCATAGTTTGTTCATGAAAGTGCTATTAGCAAGCACCTATTGAGGCCAACACGATGCGCAAATGGGTTACGTGGCCATGGCCGCGGAGTAGGCTAACCACCCACTGCACCATCACTCCTAACACGACCACAAATGCTCACCCCCTGCCCCCACCCCCCCCCGTATGTCACGTGGAAGATCACAGCGGCGGATGTCATCAAAACGGCGACCGAACGTCGAGCATCGACCTCTCGCTGAGAACAGCGACTCTTTAAGCCATCAAAAAAGGTCCTCAGGGCCAAACCTTCCACCTGGTCGCCCCCAAGGGGGTACAGATTCGTCAGCTCAATGTCGAGGGCCTTTCTCGGGCGATGTGCGAGGAGCTCGCGAAGATCTGGAAACATGTCGTTGACGTCCCCCGCACTCCAAGGAAGCCACGTGTCCGGTGACATGCGTGCTGTCATCACAGACACAGCCGCAAGCTGCTAACGAGCCACTGCCACTCGAAGCATGGTCTCGCTACGTGAGCGAGACGGCCCGCCACCTATCCTGCCAACAGCACACGGAGAGGCAGCCACCACTTCTGTCCGAATCGGTCAGCTCATCGTCGTGAATGCACAAACCACCCGGCACACACTGGCCGCAAACCTGCTTTACCCAGCATGCAACATCCCGCTACACGGTACTGTTTATATATGCGAGGGCTACTTTAATAGTCACCATACACAGTAGGGCCATGCGATCAGCAACAGTGCAGATGAAGACCTGACAGACTGGACATATGCAGAAGACCTCCACCACCTATTTGACTCAAAACACCACGCGACCTTTCATTCGGCGAGATGGAGGGGGGGATTACGTCCCAGACCTGACCTCCGTTTCCATCGATGAGAATGGTGCACCCCCTGTATTCCCCAACAGCCAGGATAGGCCTGTCGTGACTCACATTGGCATCAAAGTACCCGTGATATTCGTCGGAGCCGGTTCCAGGATGGAAAACTTTGGGTAAGGCGAATTGGAGTGCTTTTTACCGTCGCCATCGAAAACAATTATTCGGATCCAGCCACCCCCAGATAGGTTTGAACGGAGCTTGGTCCTTGTGATCTCCGCTGTGAAAAAGACGAATTCCCACTCTGTGAACTGAAACGATCAGAAACTGACACAAATCTCCTGCCCATCGACGTCGATCTGACCAACATCCCACATCGACGGCTGAGATCCGGTTTAGAATCACGCGGCGCGAACTCCGCTTGGCCCGAATTTCAACATCGAAACGGCGCGGAGCGAACTCGTGGCTTTCAAGCGACGCTCTCACCAACCAACTGGCTCACCGAGCCCTCCCCCACCACCACCACTGCCTGCATTCCACCTTGAACGGAAACAACGGGCATCACCCGAGCCGAATCCGCACCAACCACGGAAGATGCCGACACTTTAGGCGCAATTGTGAAATCAAACTCTCCTGCTTGCAACTGCGGCCCGGGAACTCCGAACCGTGGACCAGACAATGTCACGCTGCCCCATCGACAAGCGGTGGGCAGTTTGCGCTCGTCACCAACCCCCAGGCAAGGCAACGGAATGGCTGCATCGCTTGCGAGTCCAGACCGTCGCTCCTTCATAGGTCACGAGGAAAGAAGAGAACCGCTCGCCCGGTGGAGGGTGGCGGTGGGGCGGTGGGGAGTGCAGAGGGACTGGGTCTGAGAATCGACCGACTCACTCAGGGAAGATAAGAATACCAGGGTTAGAGAGGCTGTGGAGGATACGAGGTGTGCAGGGAGTGAGGGATGGAGGGAGTGAGTGAGGGGTAGAGAGAGTGAGTGAGGAGGGAGTGAGGGGTGGAGGGTGTAAGGAGGGAGGAATGGATGGAGGGGTGGAGGGAGTGAGGTGTGGTGGA